ATTTAAAGGGGATCTTTCTGTGGACGCATGCCACAGGATTCTTGTTGTGGCATCGTGTTGTATCATATTTTTTGTGGCGGAGTACTGAGTGATTCACTCTCTCGTTGTAGTGGATTATGAAAAGACATCCTTTTGTGGCAGATTACCATGGGTTTCCTTACGCGGCGGAGTGCAACGGGAACCCTTGTGGCCGAGGGCGAACGGTCTCCCATCGTTGCGCAATTCAAAATTCCCCCCTGTGGCAGAATACAAACGGACATCTTTTGCCGCGGAGTACTACAGGGTTCTTTTTTGTTGCAGGGTACAACAGGGAATGCTTTGTTGTTGATTACCACGAGATTCCTGAGGTGGCGGATTGCAATACCATATATATATAGAACAATACAACGAGCTGTTTTTTTTTTGTCGGGGTGAACAGGGATCCTTCTGTGGCGGAGTACCACGGGATTTCTTCTAAGGCGGAATACAATCCGATTCCTTCTCTGAGCGGGGAGCGGGGACCACATCATCGAACACACACACACACACACACACCAGGCAAACAAACCACACAAACTCATGATTTCTGGCAGTTTCTCTAGTACCATCGCCACACTTCTGCCAACCAGATGTGTTTGTTTGTGTTGTTGTTGTTGTTGTTGTTGTTGTTGTTGTTGTTGTTGCTGTTATTGTTGTTGTTATTGTTGTTGTTGTCGTTGTTGTTGTTGTTGTTGTTGTTGTTGTTGTTGTTGTTGTTGTTGTTGTTGTTGTTGTTGTTGAATTATCGTTCTCAAATAATAATTATTGTTGATCCCCCTCACCGCTGGACATTGATTCCCAACCATTATGTGGTGTTGGGTCCTCGTTTTGAAGAGGCGTTGCCCCGCGTTCCTCCTCCTCCTTCCTCCTCCTCCCCTTCCTCCCCCCTCCTCCCCCTCCCACACCCATTCTGGCACACCCTTCACACGTTTCGTGGCCCCATAGGGAGCTCCACCGAAGGCCCCAGTGGTTGCGCCCGCATGCGGTTCCACCCCCCATTCTGGCACACCCCTCACACGTTTCGTGGCCCCATAGGGAGCTCCACCGAAGGCCCCAGTGGCTGCGCCCGCATGCGGTTCCACCCCCCATTCTGGCACACCCCTCACACGTTTCGTGGCCCCATAGGGAGCTCCACCGAAGGCCCCGGTGACTGCGCCCGCATGCGGTTCCACCCCCCATTCTGGCACACCCCTCACACGTT